TGTTACAGAACATGGCTCGCAGTTAGCACCAATGGCATGCCTGCTATCGTCGCCCAGTCGCATTGCTTATTTAAAGTGAGGTACTGAGTTAACTGCGGAGTAACGGCTGATTATGACGCAGGGCAGTGAAAGTCGCAAAGAAGCTGTCTCGCCGATACCGCCTTATCTTTTCTGTATGTGATGGTGTGTTGGCAAGTAGGCGCATAGACCCCGAGATTTTGCCTAGGGCATTGAGGTTTTACTAGAAATCCCCTTCGCTGCTTCCCATTATTTAGTCGTCCCGTACTACTACTACTACTACTACTGCTACTACTACTAATACAAATACTACTACTACTACTAGGGTGTGTAGTGGGTATCGCCGCCTAACGGGCCGATCCCATGCAGGTGTACCCGACCTGGAAAAACCCCCGGTTACGTTTGGCGCCAGGTGAAACAGCCTCAAGATGCAATCGAGTGGGTCACTAGCTACCCATCTTTAAAAACAGACGACACCGTCTGCGTTACTTGATGAAATCTACCCATTCAGTGTCGACAAGAAACGGACACACACTGTGCTCACTAACCCCTAAGAAATCGGTGTAAACGGGCTTACTTGTGTGTTAACGTGGATGTTATGTTGCGTGCACAGATGCGCGTTTAACTGTAATCACTTACCATTCTAGGGAACTTGTCAAGCTTTGTCTTTTGTATCCGTATTATACCAGTTTCATTGTTCCTGACCGATCCTTAGACTCCTATGCAAACAAATTTAGGTACTATGGACACTTTGCCATCTCGACGTTACTACTTTGCGTATACGAACTGTTTATCGGTGCTCCAATAGCAATCTGTCATTCAGACGCCTCAACCCAGATGTACAAGCGGCCTTGAGTGAATCTTGAATCGCGCACTTGAGGCCATTCCAAGCTGCACTCTCTAACAACTGATGCTGCAATTCAAGTAGTGCATCAAAAAGCACTACGTGAAATAGGATACAACAAAGACATTGTTATACTGAAGCCTGATCAGGGTTCCTGAGTGGTCGTCCCAGACGTAGAATGGAGACAATATAGTCAAACATCACAAAGTTCAAGCAGGATACTACCTTCGACACTGTCCGCTTAGTCGAAAAGCAGTTATGTCGTGAATTGCAACATTTAAGGCTCCATGGATTCATCTCAGAATATATGGTGCTAAAACCTGTGGGTACTCATACTTCACAAATGCATGGTCTGTTTAGAAACATAAAGGAGAAATGCCCATGCGATCAATTATCTCCATGGTTAATTCGCCGTACCACGTCAAGAATAAATGGCTGAACAGCATGCTGGAGCCCATAAGGAAATCCACAGTAAAGCATACTTTATCAAACAATTACCAACTAATTCCCTGCTTAGAATGTGTAGGTTTGACAGAAAAGCGAATGCACTCGCTTGATGTTCAGTCTCACTTCAGCAACACAGTTTGAACGGGACTGCTCACTACATATGTGAGTTTATCACAAAATATGATGTTCGACTGCGGCTACCTACGGAACCGCTGAAGAACATGCTGCTTTTATGCAGACAACAAGTTTTACTGTCAAGGGAAAGCATATCGGCAGATAGATGTTGTGGCAATGGGTAGCCCATTAGGTCCGTTGTTGGCAGACGTATTCATGGGCATGCTTGAGGAAAAGGCAGGTGACGTCACAAGATGGGCGACTCTATACAAGTGTTATGTTGATATTGTTAGTCACGGATTCGGATGTGGACATCGCGCATGCGACTGGGGTGTACAATAAAATGCATCGGAACCCTACAGCGGCGAGTGAAACTGTATCTAGATGTTCTGATTACACGACGACCAAACGGTTCCATCAAAAGGTCCGTACACAGAAAGCCGGAAAAGACTAGTCAGTAAACGCATTGTATGAGTCTCTTCCCTACACAACACAAAGGCTCTCGTATTAGGCCAATAGGATCTGCACTTTAGACACCATAGAAGCAAAGATCTGCTCTTAGAGACGTTGCAATTCAGTAGTTATCCGTCACAGTTGATTAAGCGCATTAATAAAACAACCAAGCCAGACCGTGTGCCAACAGCCCCAAAGAAGTGGATCTTCATTGAGCTACCTTTACAAACGTGGCTATGCTGTGAAGGTTAACGAGAAAGGAATAAGTGCTTCACTATAACGAGCGTACATGCGGCAGAGTTGCAGCTGCTCACATAGACTGGACCTATGCTTATGTGTTCGATTAAGACACCGACGATGAAGCAGTGCACGTCAAATTGCCTATACAAATTCACCTGTAGATGTAGAAACTACATTGCGCGCACCGACTGAAGTTTAGATGCCGGAATCAATGAACACATTCTCAAGTGACTAAGCAGTCGGATGAAAGCTTTGAAGACGGAGTCGGTTGGGTGGGGAAAGCGAGCTACCTCAGTAACCACAAGGCACTTGCTGATCACCGGCCACTGAGTCAATACTGATGGATCATTCACAGTCCTAATGCGCGATCTGCGGCCCCACATGTTTAGGTTACTGGAGACTATCAGTATCGATTGCGAACGCCCACTCCTAAGCATCTAAAAAACAGCTAACTGTGGCTCTAAGCCTGCTCTGGCAGTGTAGGTGCTCGGCCATGGGCAATCCCTATGACACTGTTTTGGTTTATCCATCAATGTTGCATATCTGTGATAGAAAAGAACGCACGAAATGAGGACGTCATCTCACAGAGGTATAAGGGGAAATTCTTGTTTCAAACTAAGAATGCTATTTCCCAGATATTCAGTACAAACGAAAAGCACATGCCAATGACGCTTAGCGCTCCGCTGAAACAGGAAGTGAGCATTATGTGAACAAATATAAGATTATGGTTGAAATCGAATAAATTGCTTTAAATAGATAGGTAACTTTAAACTAGTGTGCGCATTCTGCAGATGATGACGACGTAAGCTGAGAAAGGAGACTAAGTTGTGTCATGGGTACATTGTGTCCGTCAGCTTCTTCGTACATTGATGAAAAGTTCTTATTCTGGTAGGTGAGTGACTCAGTCATTCATGACACCAGTAGTGAGCAAGATATCTACGCTTTCTGCCAAGCGATTAAGAAGACAGTTGACGTTAACAGTCTCCGGAGTAAAACTGATGGGATAGAAAAGAGGTACATTGGCCCTTGGTCATTGAGTTTGACTTCGGTCAGGCTTCAAGTATGTATGCTGCATATGCGGTTGTCCATTGGGATTTATTTGACACTGACCGCATCCACATGACTAATGAAAGTCCGATATCGCAACTGACGAACAATGTGTGAAAGTCATCTGGGTGATCAGAGTTTGATAAGCGTAACGCGCCGGGTCATTGTGGGCTTGTATGCCCACTTCGGGACATGGCATACATTAGCTTTGTGAAAAAGTAGATCCAGAGCAAGTGTCACCCACTAACTGATCTGTTACAACATATAGGTGTTGAAAGATTCAACTTAAAGCAGCTACTTACGTCTGAAAGATGGTCTAGCTAGTCTTCTGGTCTAGACGGTGACAACAACACTCGCTTCTATTAAGATGAGAAGAGGACGACCCAAACAAATCGAAAACGGAGGACGAAAATTGCTGGCAATAGTGTCATGTGGACAAATGAGAATACACAGTTGTCGATTGAGAGAGAAGTGCTATTCGTGAGTACATCTTTGGTCTTTGATCTAACAGTTTGAGCCAAAAGGTAAGAAACGGAAGTTCGCTTCGGCAATTCTAATTGGAGAGCGGTACAGTAGTCTCACAGCGACAGGGAAAATGAAAGATGCGACGAACAAACCAGATGATGTTGGTCAGTCACGTACAGCAGGCTGAGGTTTATGCAACCCCCAGTATATGATTTGACATGGATCGTAGCCGGCACAAATGGTACGTGACTAAACTGCTCACGATCTCGTGGCATCCACAGAGCGAACTATGAAGCACAGCAATGGAAGCCACGAAGAAGCTGTCTGGCTGATGATGCATTACCATCGCAGGATAAGCGTTTGTAAGCATATGGTTTTAACAATAGGCGAACGTCTTCAATTTGAATGTTTGTCCAAAGCATTTAAGTTTAAAAATCAAGTATCTCCATCCTTCTGGTGAACCCTCACTAGTAAAGTCATAATGATGGCATAGGAGCGAAAAAATTAACACAAATTCATGGCGCACTGTCGCTGACGACGCGAACCACTGCACACTTTAGTGGCCAACATGGTAGTGAGGAAGCAAAACAACCACGTAGATTTCCGGGTTTAGGAGCACCCACCGTGTCTCTTGGATTGCGACGCTTAATCTCAATTGTGGTCTAGATTAGCTTTGAAGCCAGCCTCTGTCAATACGATCAGTGGAACCGTCACCGAAACCCTCCAATCACGTACATCTGATAAAAATAAGTAAGGTCCACACAGTCTCCCAGAACAGCTGAATGGCAGGTTACGGTAGTTGCCACCATGTATCCAGGATAAAGCCTCTACTTCGGATACGGTCGCAGCAATCGGAATAGCACAGGCTGACTTCAAAGTCAACCTAAACCACAATTGAGATTGAGCGTCGCAATCCAAGACCCACGGCGGGTACTCCAAAACCCGAAAAACAACTTCTAATCGTTATGACAAGCCGTGATCACCGAGCTCAATGGTCTAGTGCTCAGGGCGAGGGCCGCCAACCACTGTGTGCCGAGTTTCATTCACAACTCAGGCTATCTCTACCGATGAGCTCAAATATGGACAAAACGCGTCGTAGAGTGCAGGGATGGGAGAGCGCAACAGTGAAACCCACCACTTCGGAATGGCATAGACGGACTTTAAAGTCAACCGTGGCCACAAATGAGACTACATGTCGCAATTCAAGAGAGACGGCGTGTATCCCAAAATGCAACAATCATATAAAGCGCAATTCAAACACCGATTGTGAAAAAACGGGAACCGTTATATTTTCATGTGTGAACAGTAAATTACGCAACTGAGCGAAAAGAAAAATAATACCAGTATATAAGCGAATCATGGAAACGCTTACCCGGACTAGCGATCGTTGCAACTGAAGTGCATGTGTTACAGAAGCTTGGTCGGACGGTTGTATTCCTTCGTCTGTTTGAGGATGGCGTTAGATCAGCGTCAAAAGCACCACGTCCGGTTAAAGGCTGAAGCACGCGTGTTCTTTCTCTACGAACAGCCTGAAATGGGTACTGGGGTGGGGGTGGATGGGTAGACCTAGGACCTTGAGAACAAAGTTCCGTCGGCACAGCATGTTCAAAGGTATGGTCCATCAGCCTCCCACCGGAGAACTGTCCTGTAAAAGCGTTGGACAGAAAGATCCCTGGAGGTTGCAACCACCTAAGAAAATAAGTAATGGTCAATATGTCACCGCAAATTTGGAGACGCACTCGTTACTGACGTTGATCCAACTTGTGCAACACGACCATAAAGAGGCATCAATTTAGAGGATAGCCACGGTTCTGGGTTTAACAAAAGAAGTTGTAAAGTTGGTGTGTATGAAGAAGTCCGCTAACCATATAGTGTGCGTCAATCGAGCGTCCATGCGGTAGGTAATGTTGGCCTATATAATGCAGCCTCTCAATCACAATACGTCATAATGTCTAGTTAGAACATTTGACGAAAGTTCTTAAAGTAAGTATGAAAATGCATTGAAATTTGATGTTATTTTATTGATTTGGAACTGAACTGCTTGCTGCAACATTGCGATATTTGACAGTTGTAGAATGTTTGTTTCCAACATTGTGTGCTTGGTTTTCATCTCAGCAATTGTTTGACTTTCCCAAGGTCAAATTACGTGATCTTGAATTGCATTATCCATTGATCACCCTTGTCATGCATCGCTGCTCGTCGCGTGTTGAATTTTACGTTCTCATACAAACGGCTGCACTAATTGTATGTCGTTTTGTCAATGTATTCCTTCTCATGCCTACGTTTCTACGAGTTAATAGCTTCATATAACGTTCATGGATCGGGGACAGTATATATTGGTGCAAGTTGAAATCTGACATCATCTTCCCAACTGTCGTCGTCTTATCACGTATTAGTATGCAGTTTTTTTTATTCTAGATTAAAATAGTGGTTGTAAGGTTTAAAGCATGCCTAGTTGATCAAGTTATTGCACGTGCTCCCATTTAATGTCCCGTATATCTATCTTATGAAAGCGACGTCACAGATTAATAAAACGGTGGCCGCAAGATGCACAACGGGAAAAAGTTCTCGATGCAGCAGACAACGCAGAACCTTTGGATGAGACACCGAAAGTGAGACAAAGAATGTGGCATGATCTTTCTAACAGAGATGTATGCCGCTGGTCCTTGTTATCAGTCCGCCACCCAGATTCTTCCGGGCATCCCACAAAGTGTGCTAATAGAACATGAAGGTGAGCATGAACGACACTTACTCTGGAGTCCGTATCAGATAACCCACCTGCGGATGCTAACGTAACAACGGGGTTTACACCGCATTGCACGGTGAGTTTGCTCATGAATTATATTTAAAGTATTTTCAGTCGTTCTGCTGACCCATCACACCCAATCAAACGCAAGTACCACAGAAGTAACCCAGCCTGTAAAGAGTTGGCTGCACAGCGTCCGCGTTTATACTGGGTTTTCATCATCACGCACTCAAAGTTCCATATTCCAGCAGATATATTAAATACGCTTCAGCTCGACAGTAACCTTTCATTGCAACTAACATCAACTCACCCATCGCAAGAATGACGCTATGCTGTTATGTTAATTTTGAAATGCGTTTTTTATCCTCTCTCTTCAGACATTTTGCGATGAGACACACTGACGCTGAATAAGCATGTTTTTTCCACCTAGTTTCGGAGACACTGTTGGAGACAGGCCAAGGTACTCGAGATAGTTATTAGTGTGCCACCAAGACTTCACACGCCATCTTAATGAGCCGTATCTACACGCGTAGCTATGATGAATATAAGTTGTTCAGTCAGAAAAGCGTTTACGACTTAAAGCCATGTATGTCACCTCAGTAAGAAGAGTACTTCTTAGTGTCATAGCAAGTACATTTGTCAGGGTTACGCATATAAGAATGATGCATGGCGTACTAGATAACGGGTAAGAACTTAGTTTTGAAGTATGAAACCAAGTATATTGGGTGCCTGGAGCACAGATTTGCAATAACCTTGAGCGCTGCATTCTGACTGTGGCACTGGTCTCCAGGTGTGATCGGTCTAAAAATGCGTATAGTGGCTGGTTGCTAAAATTCGTAGTTTACGGCTAAGGAAATTTGACATATTGAGAAAATGTTAAGTAATTAGTAATCGTCTAATAAGCAAAGAAATGGCAAAATTTTTACGTAATTTCGTAAGATTGTGCTGGCAAAGATCCCACATTTGAAGTGACAAGATGTTACGAAGGGTTCACTCATTCCCACTAATGGGCAGACAATGGAGTGTGCGACTGCACCGAAAAAACTGCCTCTCAACCAAGTGTCCCGAGGGCTTATCACAAAAGGCTTACATTAGTTGATCTGTGTTGGTGTAACTGTGGACAGGATTTTATATGATCGAGTATTTGGTGCCCCATGTTGAAGCTGATGTTGCATTCTTGATGCTTCTTCACCGCAGTTGGGCTAAACCAACTTACAATTAAACTAGGTCTTTTTAAGGTGGATAAATTTCATTCCACTTTATTTGGTTTGTTCTGCCTACCTGAGTAATGTTCTATTAACTGGCCACGTGGCATGCGCTAATTGCGCTTATCTTCGGTAACTGTATTGCGGTTGTAGCATTTTAAGTAACTTGTGGACATTTCTTACTTATCGCGGATTCGTTGCTAACCAACATACTTCATATGGTAATTTAGCGAAGAGTTATGCCACCGTATCTGTATGCATTATTGGATTTATTTTAGTTCATCTTGTCGTTTCAAGTGATTGGCTGTTGCTTGATATCCCCGGTGTGGCTGCGCTTGATATGCATGCTGACAAGGTGCCCACCTGTCTATTATCCACCACCTCGTCTATACTGGCTCCAGGAGACAGTTGGTCGTTGCTGGAGGGGAAGCGGTGCACGGTCCTTGAGGCCGTGCTAGGCTCGAAGAGCGGTTCCATGCACTCAGTGTGGAGCGGATACGGTCAAGCCACCGCCTTGTGTGCGCTTGATTCCCCAAATACAGCGTGCTCGTGGTTGCCTGTGAAGGAATGTGGGTCGGCTCCGTTGATGAAACGTGGCTCCCATGCACATGCCTCCCGGTCTTATTCCTTCGGGTTTACACTGGATATGGGGTGTGTGGTTGGAGCTGTGGGTGGTGCAGCGCAAGCGACCCATGATCTTTCTGTAGGCGCAGGCGTCCTGTGGCTGGCCACAATGACAGGTAAATCCGAAACCGGATGCCGCCAACCATATATATTCAAATCTATGCCAATTACAGTATAACTGGCTGAGTGCCACAACACATAAGAAGAAAAATATAGCGTGAAAGGGAAGACAACTGTTAGGGTAGAAGAGTCTCACAGCAAGTGCGCCATTGCGTACGGTCCTTGGCCATATCCTCCAGCGTTTGCAACCAGGTGTGCTTGCGGTTCTTTGGTCCCCAACCCGGGAGTCGGAAACGCCCGACAACAACCAGCTTCATCGTTTGCGTCTTAACACATTGGATCCAAGTTTTACATTGCCCTCCTTTTAGTCACTTACAAGCCACACCTGTGTTCGCGAATAGGGCTCGTCGTGGTAGCCGCTGAGTAGGCATGCGAAACACATGGCCAAGCCAGCGAAGCCTCCGCAGTGAGATGATGCTATCAATGGATCGGCTGAGTTCGTTAGATCTGAAGACTCGCCGACGGAGTACTTCATTACTGATGTGGTGCTGCCATCAACACCAGCAGTGCTTCGCAGGCAGCGGAGATCAAAGACTGATAGCCGCTGAACATCGCTTTTGCGAACGGGCCAAGTCCCACAGCCGTACAGCAGAATCGCTCGTACCGTAGCATTGTAGACTCGACCCTTGAGAGCGAGGCTGAGATCATGATGAAGTCACAGGTGACGAAGGTTAACGAAAGCGACTCTAGCCTTGGAGACACGCAGAGAGATCTCATCTGTCAAACCGCCAATACTAAGACAACTCCCAAGGTAAATGAATTTGTCGACCACTTCCAACCGATGCCCCGAAAGGGGAGAAGGACATGCGCTTGGCCAGTCCTGTAATAGGACCTTACATTTGGAAGGGGTAAAGCTCAATCCAAACTGGGCGGCGGACATCTCCAGTCTGAGCAGCACATGTTGAGCGGCTTAATAGAACTCGAAAGTCACAGCGATGTCATCGGCGTACTCTAAGTCCCGAAGGTGGTCACCAGGGAGCAGTTCAAAACCGCAGGACTCAGAGTTATCCAGGGCAGTAGCCAGGATCTCGTCCATGGCGAAGTTGAACAAGAATGGAGAGGCTGGACAACCCTGTCTAACACCGCTGGTGATAATGAAAGGGGGCGAAATATCTCTGTATGCTTGCACGCGGCCCGAAGTTTGATGATAAATAACACGGAGAATGCTGATGTACTTCTCAGGTCCTCCCCACTTCAGTAAGCAGTCCCAAAGAGCCACTCTGTCAACAGAGTCAAAAGCTGCTCGAATGTCCAAGAATATGACTATGGTTGGTCGCCTGAACGTATGGCGATGTTCAAGTATAAGGCGGATCGTAAAAATATGATCGACGCAACCGCGACCCGGGTGAAATCCAGCTTGTTGTTCACGCAGGTGCTGGTGCCGTACGCAACTCAGACTCCGTAAGAGTAGGGCAGCGAGCAGTCTGGATGCGACACAAATGAGACTGATGCCACGATGGTTGGAGCAAATAGTCCGGTCTCCTTTTTGTAAACAGGTACAACATCCGCTAAATTCCTGTCGGATGGAATGGTTTCAGTAGTCCAAATCTGTTGGAATAGAGATGTCAGTTCGCGAGTGAGAGCTGGACCTCCATATCTGAACAGGGCAGGAGGAAGTCCATCTGGGTCAGATGACTTGTGACGCTTTAGTAGGCGAAGCTCATTGGAAACCTCAGCCTCTGTCGGTGGAGAAACATCCACGCACCAGGGAGCACTGTGAACCACGGAAGATAGACTCGGTTGCGCTACTGGCCAGTTGAGTTGATCTTCAAAATGCTCTGCCCATCGTACCAGAGGATGGTGGCGACTGTGAATTAGTTCACCGTCATTTTCACGCAAAACCACACTCACTGTTGATCTTCTGCCTCCCATGCTCCACGGGAGGCAGAAGTAGGGTGTACACTTTGGGAAAAATAACAGAACTTGAAAGAGTCGGTTCAGACGATAAGTTCAATTCAAGTTAGTTAGAGGGGGGACTAGTATGCAGTCGCACCTGCATGGAGCGGATACGTTAAGGATAAAGTACGTCGAAAAGCGAGCGCCTTCGGGTGGTGAGTAGGTGGTCTATATTTTCCTCCTGAAAAAGTCCATTCGGGTAGCACGGGATACAGAGTTCAACATACAGGTCTCTCTCAGGGAACGTTCAACAAGTTACAGACCTGGAAAACGAGATGTGAAGTCAGTGCTCCGCAAAAAACTCATGCAATTGTGCTAACGTTCACTGAAACATGCCTACTTCCGACGTAATAAGCAGTGACGTATAGTTATCACGTTTTTTGGCTCCTTATAAATACTATCGAATCCCAAAGTAATCGAAAAACGTCGAATGACCTAAGCAGGAAAAAATGCTTCCGGTAAGAGAAAGTAGGACTCAGGATATAAAAATCAGCGGTTAATATAGTCTTCGTGCAGGTGATTTAGATAGTTGCCATTGCGACGAAATGCCATTGGATAGACACTAACACCCAATGCACTATTAGCCTATAAGTTTCCGTGACGGAGTCGGTGAAAGCCGCTCCAATCGATTCGTTAGGGTCTGCTTACCCTAACACCAAGTTACACCATATTTCAATATGACCACCCATCCAAGAGTCGCGGAAGTGAGGCTACTTTGCAGGTCAGACCTGGAGTAACTGTTGCGAAGATACACACACCTTGTAACATAGCCATATGTCTTTCGGTTAAATAAAAAATAAATGTGTCAGCTGTACGCTGTAACTGCGCTTTGCTGCCGCGCGACCACCAGTCGCGCGCGGGCTGAGTATACCGCGAGGACGCCCACCCCTACGCGGATTCGAACCGGTGACATGGTTGCAAAGCAAACGTGCAGACCACTCGGCCACCGGCCGATATACCTGATATGCCTACTACAACCACGTGGTTTAAGATAGTCTACAAGAGGCTTGGGGGCACTTCTAGCAGATTCAGGGATTTCATTCGCACTCACTCAGTGAACAGGTGTATGGTGATGAATGGCCTCTAAAGTAAATAGGCTGAAGCTTTCGTGCTGGGTTGCTGTAGAATTTCAGGTTGCGGAGAACTTCGGTTTAAAGCATTGAATTGCCATCGCACTAGTTTGTGGATCAACCCAACAGGTTCACGGAGGAGCAAAATCCGTCCCTCTAAGATCTGGTCTTTGCAGACAAGGGACTTTG